AAGAATAGGTCCAACCATTATGACTTTTACCCTATTTTGTTTGTTGCTTCAAACAACAAATCATTATTGTGATTGTGAAACCATCCAATGAAATAAAAGTACCTTTTAATTTGTCCTGTGTATCAACATGTTTATATGCACAAATTTGTCATTCTGAAATAACCCAATCTGATTTTAGAATCTGAAAGTTATGTTTATATGAATCCTAAACTTTACAATCAGACTTGTATATTTGTTTCCACTGACCAGTTTCTAAGACAAAGATAAGTTTCTAAGACATTGGCAAGATGTAAATTCATCCATGTAAAGTAGTTGGATTCAGCGTGGCTAATTACTTTTTAACTTTTTAATCTCAATTGGATGGACTGAAGGGTTTACTTGAAAATTTTCAGTCGGTTTATAAACTGATTATTTGGTTGCTAATGTAAACATCTGCAGTAACTTATAGAAAGCACAGGAGTCAGATAATGTCATCTATCCAATCAGATGTCTGTGCAGTTGTCATATTAACAGCAAGCAAAGAAACTCCAGAGGGACGTGCATGTTCTTGAGCAAAAAGTTGTTGTTTATCAGCAGGAATCGAGCAGAAGTGCTCATCAGTCAAAGCTGATTGACAGCACAAACACTGCCACTCTCTCTGAAGTGCAAATCCACACGGTGTGACTGCTGGAAAATATTCCAAATAAAATGTTTTCCTTCCTACCTGCATCCAAATTTATATTCAAAGTGGTTTGTGAACAAAGCAGCCACACAGAGAGAGACAGCAAAGGACAGTAATTGTTTAAACTATTTTAAGTGGTAAGTTTCAGGACGTTCCGTTTTTTTTGTTCATGCGCAAACCCGCTACTCTGATAACAAGAGGAATCTGATGAAAGGCTCTTTTATTCCTCTCTAGCTATCAAACATGATCATTTTTCCTGCTGGTCAGTTTTTCCTGTGTTAATAATGTGACGGTAAGACAGCTCAACAGCAGGCAAAGACAGTTAAAAGCATCTGGCAGCACATCAGACTGAGAGACCGAGAAAGTGTTTATCTGCAGTATTCAGGGAATGACAGAAATGTTACACCTGCAAGTGTGTGGCCTTATAGAATGCTAAATATCTCATTGTCTTTTATTACCCTGAATTCAATGCTCACTGCACAGTCTGCTCTTATTTCACAACAGTCTAGAGTTCATTTAATCAATCTCCTGACCTGCAGACGTAACACAGCTCAAGCCCACGTAAGGTACATCATTAATAGGTACATCACAATCACTTCCTCTGTATAATAAGTAAAAAAGAAAAACAAATCTAAAATCAGCAGTTAGATGTTACTCTCACATATTTGTTTCACATACCACATCTGCAGCAGTTCAGTGTGAGCCCTTCCTGTTTAACTAAAGTGCAAAGAGGTTTCTCACACCGTAGTCACAAGGTGAAAGTAATCGTGTTTAACATAACTATGTCAAATCTCAAATGATGACTTCACACCATTAGGAAGGGAGCTTGACCGATTCAGATCTTCTTCAGATCTTCAATTCTGCTGTAGTGCTTCTTTGGCTCCAGCAGCTTTGTAGAAAATTTTTAACAATGCTTAATAAATCAGATGTGGCCATTCACACAGAATGTGTTTTTGTTTTGAAAAACGTTTAACTCATTGCAACTTGAGCCCTGCATTTGTTTAGAACGCTGTGTCATGTGCGAGATGCTGCAAAAGACTTGAGTGCAACTAAAAAAAATCACATCACAAATCTGTCTAGTGTATATTTACATACGAAACAATCCAAAAGTAGCAAAATGGACTTGAAAAAATTGTTGTGAACCAGCCCTAGCAGGCCTATACAGTAATGCTGGTGTAATGACCCTTCACTAAGCTCCGTCCCCTTCGGTTACTGTTGCTACAGTAACTCAGACAAGCTTTACAGAATGTCTCATATGAATGAATTGGAGATTTTCATAAACATATTAGTGATTTACAGTAAATTCTGTTTACCAATTGATAAAAATGTTACTTTATAGACTGAATTAGAATTTTAAGAAAATGCTTCTCACAGTCAACTGAAAAGCGGACAACCTCCTTTGATGACAATTATAATTGATAATGTTAGTGAATTTGATTTGATTATTGTGGTATGATTCATAAACATGTTCAGATATATTCTGAAGACGCATCTCTTGCAGAGGTGCAACTGAAAACAGGTCAAGAACTGTATTTTGGATAAGAAGTGAATGCGTAATACATGGAATATGACTATAATTCCAGTCCATTCATAAATTCAGTAATCAATGCGTTGAATTTATGCTTTGTGATGCATCAGTGCATTTACACCTTATTTTCTCCCATGATCCAGGTCTGTCCTGCTTTCTCCCTTTCAGTGTTTTGTCACTATATCTGCTTTGCGTAACATGTCTTTGTTGTCCTCTCATTATGACTTTAGAAAGACATGGAGTGTACATTTCCTGCAGTACATTTGTCTGATTGGAGTCTGATTGGAGTTTCTTTTGACCACTGTCTGTGTATTTGTGTCACTTTAAGCCGTACCTTTGACATGCTCTCAAATTGCCTGTCCAATTTCACTACCAGCACCATGACCCTAGCACTCTGCTTTCTTTTCTCTTTCTAAAGAAAATCCTGTCTGCCGTCCTTAACCTATTGCTATCCTGTCCATCTTATTGGCTGTTTCTTCTTCATGTAAGGTGTTGTGTAGTATCATAGGAAACTTTATCTTTCATCCATCAGTTGTATTGTCTCACCCTGTGCAGCCATCAGGTCTGTCACTCTCAATAACATTTTCATTTGTCTTTTCTTGGCAGCCATAGCCATCGGAGACTTTATTATGTCACTATAATATATTATCAATTACTTAAGCAGATAGCTAAGGGTGAAACTTTAACACCAGGAAAAAAAATATCTGTAATAATAGCCCCCCTGAGTTTTACCCTGTGATCATAACCATCATTTGAATTCTTCCCGGTTGTATTAGCAGCCAAGAAAATGAGTATATCCTGGAGAGAACTGTTTTTTTTTATGTCGAGTTCATATCATGTTTCAAAGCCGCTACATCTCTAGTATCTCTTTAATATGTGGTGTATCTCTATACTTGATGTTAAATTCTGTGGAATATTTATGCTACTCTAACATATTGCCAACACCATTTAGTTTTTTAGTTTGTCTACATTATTTACTGAGCGGTTCAATTCAGTAGTGAACATTTCCTGTAATTTCAATTAAAGGCAGAGTAAGTGATTTCTGGTAGCCAATGTTGACATTTGAAATCACCAAAACAAACACGCCCCTACCCCAAAAGTCTCTTGCCCCTATTTTGATAGCTCCGCCCCACATATACGTACGCAACCCAGGCAACGATTAGTTCTGTGAAACAAAGCAAAACCAATGTTACACTGTGTCTACGGACGTGAGCGGCGCGGCGCAACAAATCCCCGACAGAAAACTGCTGCCGGGTTCTATTTATGACGTGCTGACACAAATTTCAAATGGTTTTCAACGGTCGTTTGATCGCGTCCAGTGGAGGCAGACTTTAGCTGTTGTAGACACGGTGTTACTCACCTATTGCGAAGAAACAATGCAACCTCCGATCGCAGGCCTCCACTCCTTGAGTTCTCTCCAGTGCTGGAAAGCTGATCCGATATTTACACGGGTCCTACTTCTTGCTTTATCGTTCCGCAGACGTTTTCCTCTTGTTTTTTATCCGCTATCTCTATCTTTCTGTCGCTCGGCTCGGCTAATGTCCGTCCCATGCACTGAACGCGCTCTCCTCCACATCATGAGTAGACACTCCCCTTATTGCTACAAGTTTGTTTTGCGATTCGGAGCAGTGGGCAGCCATTTAAGTTGGGGGTTTGGGCACCTCAGTCGTGGTATTGAAGGTGGGAGAGAGCGCTGTACATTCACTCCCCCCACCTACAATCCCTGCCGGTACGAGACTCGAACCCACAACCTTTGGGTTACGAGTCCGACTCTCTAACCATTAGGCCACATAATGCTCCAGGAAGAAGTATCCAGTGATCGCTGTAGCTGAATAAAACGCAGATAAAGACATTATAACTCAATACAATAAACATGCGATTGCACAAAATATATGTTCTTCAAGCAATCTTGGGTATTTTTTATAAGGATAAATTATATTTATAATGCAACGCTAATCGATAGCCTTTATCACTGTGTGTATATAATGCTATAAAATAGTATGATTTCTGCCTTATTATGTGATACGAAACCACGTCTGATCACAAAAATAAGTTATTTCAAACACTCGACTATGTTATGAAGTTAATATGGAGAAAAAGCATGTCAATAAGTTAAAATATCTTTGTTGGACAACAGGTTTGTAAACGATTCATACACATGTAAAACTGTGTCGCACACGTGCTACTGTAGTACATTTACTCAAGGCTCAGACCGATTGTTGTCTCTGTACAGCCCTATCCAAACCTGTTCCAGATTGTAGAAGGAGCTGCTCAATTTCATGTCCGCCTTCCTTCACATCACTCCACACAGTCGCACACAGAAATATGTCAACAACTAGACTTTATCGTTATTCACAGGAAGACAAATTCTTATCGTGTGGAGAATTTTTACCCGGTATATCGCAAACGATAAGATATCGCCCATCCCTACTGTTCCCTATCCTGAAATGTTGTATGTGTGACCTTTTGTTTCTGGTGTCACAAGTGTTGAATAGATTGCACTTAAGTTATGTGTGTGCAGTTGCTGCTGCTGTTAAGGAAAGCAACAGCTGCTGTTGTACTAGTAAGTTACAGTAGGTCTAACAGTGACATATTTTTACATCACCACCTAACTTAAACTAAACACGTGCACATTCTTTTCATTTTTCAAACTTTTCACTTTCATTTCAAATGACATTTTTTATTACTGATTGTTAGTTATTAATGTGTATGTTTAAAAAGCACTATTATACCGATTCACTGTATATCTGTAATCTCTTGTTTCAGAGTCACTTTCTTATGTCATTCCTTTTGTTGTCATCTTTTTTTCAGCGGCCCGGCATGCCTCCAGGACCACGAATGCCTCATCAGGGGGCCCCAATGGGGCCTCCAGGACCACCATATGGAGGAAGCCCTGCTGTCCGACCCGGACTTAACAATCAGGCCATGGAAGCCAGTCGCAAGCGGCCCGCTCCTTCACAGCAGCAGATGCAACAGCAGCAGGCCGTACAGAATCGAAACAGGAAGTAAGTGTAATGTGACATATACTAATCAAGTCAAGTCAAGTCACCTTTATTTATATAGCGCTTTATACAATACAGATTGTGTCAAAGCAGCTTTACAGTGTTAAACAGGAGAATAGTGTGTTGACAATGCAAAAGATCAATAGTAAACATTCAATTTTTCAGTTAAAGTCAATTCATTATTGATTCAGTGATGTCATCATCTAGCTCAGGTAAGTTCAAATAGTATCCGTGCAGTCAAGTCGCCAATATTGCCAGAAATTAAGTGTCCCCAACTAAGCAAGCCAAAGGCACCAGTGGCAAACAAAACAAAACTCTATCTGTGACAGAAATGGAGAAAAACAACTTGTGAGAAACCAGGGGGGCCAGTTCTCCTCTGCCCAGACGAAACCTGCATGGTGTGGTTTAATTCCAGACCGCAATGCAAGTCAGATGAGCAGAGGACTCGTCTGGTTCTTGTAGTCTTGTGCCAATGGCCGTCTAGTTGACGAGGTCTTCACAGGGGATATGTCTCTGGGGCTTATCTAGTTGGCATGGTCTCCGCTGACATTCGTGGCTGTAGAGGTCGTCTCTTGGTGCTGATCCACCATCTGGACTGGATACGGACTGGATCCAGATGACTGCAGTGACCATCTGATCTGTGCTAAATAGGAAAAGAATCTGCCGCCCACAGTTGATTTTGATATTCTAGGTATTAACAAATGGCCATAATTTTGAGATCGCAGTAGACGTGAAGAACTATAATGCAATAAGGGAGCCAGTGCAGTTTTGACAGAACTGGGCTAATATGGTCATACTTTCTGGTTCTAGTAAGTACTCTAGCTGCTGCATTTTGGACCAGCTGGAGTTTGTTTATTAAGCGCGCAGAGCAACCACCCAATAAAGCATTCCAATAATCTAACCTTGAGGTCATGAATGCATGAAAAACTCTCAGAATTCTGCATTTGACATTGAGAGCATAGGTCGTACTTTAGATATATTTTTAAGAGGAAAAAAATGTGTATTACAAATGCTAGAAACATGGCTTTCAAAGAAAAGATTGCTATCAAATAGCACACCTAGGTTCCTAACTGATGACGAAGAACTGACAGAGCAGCCATCAAGTGTTAGACAGTGTTCTAGATTATTACATGCAGAGGTTTTTGGTCCGATAATTAAGACCTCTGTTTTTTCAGAATTTAGCAGTAGGAAGTTGCTTGTCATCCAGGTTTTTATATCAACTATGCATTCTGTTAGTTTTGCAAATTGGTATGCTTCGTCGTGCTGCGAAGAAATAGAGAGCTGAGTATCATCAGCATAACAGTGAAAGCTAAAACCATGTTTTTTTTATGATATCTCCCAAGGGTATCATGTAAAGCATCAAAAGCAATGGTCCTAGTACTGAGCCTTGTGGTACTCCATACTGCATTTGCGATCGATATGATACCTCATCATTCACTGCTACGAATTGATGATGGCCAGATAAGTATGATTTGAACCATGTTTTTTAATGAGAGGCTTAATAACAGCCAGTTTGAAAGTTTTTGGGACATATCCTAATGACAGTGACCAATTAATAATATTCAGAAGAGGATCTATGACTTCAGGAAGAACCTTTTTTAGTAGCTTAGATGGTATAGGGTCTAACATACATGTTGTTGGTTTAGATGATTTAACAAATTTATACAACTCTTCCTCTCCTATAGCAGAGAATGAGTGGAATTGTTCCTCAGGGGATCTATAGTGCACGTACTGATGCGATACTGTAGCTGACGGCTACGTGGTTATAATTTTATCTCTAATAGTATCGATCTTGGAAGTAAAGAAGTTCATAAAGTCATTACTGCTGTGCTGTTGGGAAATGTCTGTTAATTTAACCACTGTACTGAATAAATACCTGGGGTTGTGTTTGGTTTATTCTAAAAGAGATGAAAAGTTAGCAGATCTAGCAGTTTTTAAGGCTTTTCTGTAGGAGGAAGTACTTTCCCTCCATGCAATACGAAACACCTCTAGTTTTGTTTTCTTCCAGCTGCGCTCCATTTTCCAGGCTGCTTTCTTTAGTGTGTGAGTGTGCTCGTTGTACCACGGTGTCGGACTGTTCCTTAATCTTCTTTATGCGTAAAGGAGCAACCATATCTAAAGTGCTAGAAAAGAGAGAGTCCGTTTAAGAGAGAGTAGTTTCTGTTACAACATCAAATTTTTCTAAGCTATCAGATATGCTGAGGAATTGAGACCAGTCAGGAATTTTATTAACAAAGCAGTCTTTTGTGGTAGTAGTGATAGTTCTACCATATTTGTAACAAGGAGTTGAGTTTGCAGCTTTAGCTACAGTGGGGCAAAAAAGTATTTAGTCAGCCACCAATTGTGCAAGTTCTCCCACTTAAAAATACATGAGACTAGATAATAATCTGATATCATCGCTCTGTTGCAGAATTTCAATGCCATCAACATCAATTCCATGTGATAGTATTAAATCTAAAGGATGATTATGACAATGTAGGTCCTGACACGTTGTCTAGCCCCAATAGAGTTTAGAATGTCTATAAATGCTGATCCCAAAACTGCATCTATTTCATTATCTACATGGATATTAAAATCACCAACAATTAAGATTTTATCTGCAGCCAGCTAGGCTTGCTGCGATAGATGGTGTTTTCAGTTATACCGGTGTTAAGCCGCAACACCGGTTACGTCATTTGCCTAACCCCAGCACCGCCCCCCACCGTCGTTTTGATTTTTTTATAGAAACAAAAATAATTTAGCCTAGTTCAGTTAGAGGACAGACACTTTTAAAAACTAAATGCTCAATGCAGCGTGCCGAACTGTGCGCGAACAACAGTGCACCACGGAGCAGGAGTCAGATTTTTGTTGATGTTTGCTGATTACTTTATTTAAACTTTGTGTATTTTATTTATTATATTTTACATCAAGGTGTATATGCCGTGCCTCCAAGCTTTCTTATTCGTTTTGCTAATAAACATTGTTTCTTATTTATTTGGTTCCACAGTGTTTGCTGATTTTCAGTTTTATATACCCATTTAAATTCTGTAGCCTAAGTAATTTGTTATTTTATTAGGTATATATGGTGTATTTATATTCGTTTTGTTAATAAAAGTTATGAGTTTGACGTTGTTGCTTGAATTGAATCAACGCAGAATTGCCGCTAATTTGAAAGAGGGAAATCCGAGGAAAAGAGGGAAAACTCAAACAAACAATTGTTTGACGCCGAATTGCGGCAATTCTATTGCCGCTAATTCGAAAGTGAAAGTAAAATGCACACGGCACTTTTACAATCCATTTGAAAGCGAAGAAAAGAGGGAAACTCAAATTAACTAACACCCCCCCCCTCCCACCCCAACGGTGATACCGGTATTACAGGTGTTGTCACACATCGATTAACTGGTGGGAAATTTCCTCACTGTCACAACCCTACAGCCAGCATAACACCCCCCCCTCCCACCCCAACGGTGATACCGGTATTACAGGTGTTGTCACACATCGATTAACTGGTGGGAAATTTCCTCACTGTCACAACCCTACAGCCAGCACTAACTCAGATAGAAAATCAGCAAATTATTTTATAAAGTCTGTATGGTGCCCTGGTGGCCTGTATACAGTAGCCAGTACAAACGTCACAAGGAATTTATCATTAACACTTATTACACTAGATAATGTTATATAAAGCACCATTACTTTAAACGAATTATACTTGAAATCAGACCTCTGAGAAATACTGAAAATATTACTATCAATTTTAGCAACACCTCCCCCTTTACCTTTTGAACGCAGCTCATGATTATAAAAGTAATCTTGGGGGGTAGACTCATTTAAAGTAATGTAATCATCTGGTTTTAGGCAGATTTCTGTCAAACAGAGTACATGTAGGTTTTGATCTGTGATCATATCATTTACAAAAAGCGCTTTCATAGAAAAGGATCTAATATTCATTAATCCAAGGAACTAATAATCAGGAACCCACATAAAAATATATAGAGAATTTTAGCAATAACAAAAACCTGGAGGATGTCACTTAATGTAGGTAGACTTATGTAGGCTTTTGAAATAGTTTTTTAGGGTCGACAGCTTATATAAACGTAGTTCTGGGTTTTTTAGCTTGTTTACTGTACACCTTGTCACACAGCCGCTTTTAGGCATTGTTCTGTATTTTGTTATAAGTCAGAAATGACAAGGAGGCAGCTTCCCACAATACAAGTCAATGGAGAGGGTTGGATTGTTTTCCCCCTCCGGTATGGGCGTGGCCTAAATGCGCTGTGTTTCTATGGCTGTATTGATGTAGATTTCATGAGCTTTTTTTTTCCCCGCCCCGGAAAAAGTATTTGGTATGTCACGACTTAACAAGCAGATTTTAATAGTGAAGTGCTGGGTAGCCCCGCCCACAGTGAAATCTTACTGGTCCAAAATTCTGCTCCACATATAGTAGCTGTATATTAGATATCAATCTAATATACAACTATGTATATCATATATGACCCAAGTTCCTTATGTAGATCTCTGAAAATTCCCAGTTGTTTTAAATGGGGTCACTCTGTTGTCTTTTATCACAAATCTCTCTGACATACAGTACAGTCTTAGTTTGCGCAGTGGCTGTTGTTTAGTTGCAGTTAATTTGATCTGTGGAGTCTTCGGTCTGCTGGCCAATCATCTGACTGTGCTGTTGTGACAGAAAGGGGCCACGCACTGAGAAATGTTGTATATAATACTTGTTTCTTCATTTTTCCTGGATCTCTGTCTCTTTCTCTCTCTCTCTGTTGTATCCTCTCTGAATCAGCTCCATTGATTCACATACTTGCTCATTCTGTCTGTCGACCTTGTCTGACACATTAGTGTAACATTATCTTGCATTGTCTAGAACCCTCCTGTCTCACATCAGACTAATCAATGCACTAGTTGTGTGTGTGTATATGTTTGTGTAATAACCACACATTGGCATATCAGATCTGCTGTTTCTTGTACAACTCCCATGTTGTCTGTTTTGTATATTCAGCTTTTTGTAATGTGTCCCCAACATATTCAGTAGTTCAAAACTTGCATACAAACACATGCTCTTGCAACACATACAAACACACTCAGTACCGTCTAATGAAGGACCCTTCGAATGCCATCAACTCATAGGAAGCCTGTTGGATTTCCTGGACCAAATAAGATGCCAGGGAGACAGATGGACATGAGAGAGGCCCAATCAGATCCCACACTCGGATCAAAGTAGGAGTTTATTCTGCTGCATGATGGATTCACACATTTTGATCCCACCTTCGTCTCAAGCCTTGACCCCTTGCCCCCTCTTACCCTAGCACATCTTGCCTCCAAAGAAATATCCCTAATAAGGGTTACTCCCCTTCACCTCTGATTGATGTTTAATGGTTATTATCAAAGATTATTCCTTCATACAGCAATGATTTCATTTATTGAGTTACAGATCAGCTGATGTTAGTCATGTATTGAGACCTAACATGTCATTTGAGTCAAAGACATTATAAAATCAAAGGTATTATAATAATATTAATATATTGAGGTTAAAGTTTTAATGCTATTATATATTTTCCTGGATTTAGCATGGATGCGCTTGCATGTCCTGTTGCATGGCATGAAGGCAGTATGTGAGAGCTTGTTTTACACTTCAGTGTAAAGTGTCGAATCTAAATGTTTTCACAAATAACTAAACATGTATTAATAAGTCAGGCTGACTGATTTGTGCATTTTAGTTGATTGGATAAATATATTAAGTGGGTGAAAAGTGTGCTGAAATAATAACAAAAATTGTATTTGGTCATTGCTTTCCTGATCTTCTTGCAGTGTTTGTTTTGGTGATGGTCACCTGTACGGATCCTGCTTTTAAGTGTACAAAGCTCTTTTTTTATGATGGGGAATGAACACATGCCACACAGCACTCTTTTCAGTCTAGTTAATAGGACCAATGATTATTTGCTTTCACAGGTAATGCCACACACAGCTCTCTCAACTAGCAGTTTTGCGCATATCTTATGTGAAATGGAGAAAAATGCACAAGGAAAAGCACCAAAATAATGCTACTTGTTGTGCTCAAAGAAATAGAAGAGCATTCATATATGAGCACAGATATACTTGTATGCACAACACAGGCGTATTGACACACCTGTCTGCACATCATGAGCAGGTCCTATGAATCTCTGCTGCTTTCCAAGCTTCAACTTGTGAAGTTTGAGCAGTAATGATTCTAGTTGATTCTAGTAACGTCCTCTGTGCCAATGGTTGCCAGCACCATCTGGGCTGGCGTCGCACACACACAGACACACACACACTCCCACATCGTCTTTCCCGCATCCTGGACCAGCCCCAGAATTTTAGCAGATGTCCTGGGTGCTCCACTGTCAGTCTCCATAGTAACATCTTGGGTTTTTTTCTGCCTTTCCTCTCCGTTTCCCCTTTCTCCCCTTTCTGCAGTGCCAAGAGGAGGAAGATGGCTGATAAGATCCTTCCACAAAGGGTGAGTAAGAGATCTGAGCCTTTTCATTGCTTTCATTGGTTTAGCTGGGGGTTTTTTGTGTGTGCAAATGTGCACGAATGAAGATGCACGGGTGTGCGCGTCTGTTCTCTATCTCGGCCTTTTAGAGGGGTGGAAACCACTACCAAGCAAGCGATACGGTAGACAGAAATGTTTTGGGGGGGCTTTTGCATTCAGTAATTGTCACCTCAGTTAGACAATGCAGATATACTCTACACTGACATCAGGTCATTTTTAGAAATATATTATATATTGCAAAGAGTATCTAGATTTTTTTCCCTACAAAATATATGTTCTAGTTAAGGTCAGCTTCCAATTGTATCTCATATTCTAATATTCTAATAAATAATCTAAAATATAAGACAGCATTACTGCTGTGGGTTCATGGTGATGGCTATTATTGAAAATCTATTTTTTTTTTCATCATTTAATAGGGTTTAAATATTATATGAATGATTCTGTTTAGTTTTTTATAGTCACTGTGTTGCTATGAGTTGGTTGTGTTAGATAAGATAAGCAGCATTATGTGTGTTTTATCAGGCCTTATAGATAGATACAACTCCAGTGGAGACGCCAGACGCATTAGTCATTGACGAAACACTCTGTCTATCGTACACAGAACAAGGAAAATAACTAGGATAGTTTGAATTTGTTTACCAGTGCTCCCATTTGCAAAATGAAGTTTTACTGATTTCCTTCTTCAGATTCGTGAGCTTGTTCCGGAGTCACAGGCGTATATGGATCTGTTGGCATTCGAGCGTAAATTAGACCAGACCATAATGCGCAAACGGGTGGACATCCAAGAGGCACTTAAGAGACCCATGAAGGTATTTCTCATCCTCAAGATCCATATGTTCTTTTAATTTAATTTTCCAGGACAGACTGTTTTATTTAACCTCTTTTAAAAATATATATGTGTTTGCACTTTTACTTTTGTTAACCAATCCACCTTATTTTTAACATTAGATTGGCCACGGCTATTTTTAAATTGAATGTCTCGCTTCCGGTGTCATTTGATTCCAGCTATTTTTAGCTGTTAAAAAACAGCTTCTTATGCTGCTTGAAACTGCAAACTGGTATTTTTTACCATGTTATAGTTTTACAATCTACTGCACTTTGAAATTCTTCTCGTTATTTCCCTATAGTGGCTAATGAATCGGAAGTCTCGCACATTCACAGAAAACAGCTTACTTCTGTGTTGAAAAATAAGGTGGATAATATATCAGACAATTTCAAGCAGGCACAAGGAACCTTGGAACAAGTATTTTCACCTGCAGTCTAGTCGTCTCTTATTGAACCATTTTAAATATTGCTTGCATAAATCAACAGGATAAGACACCAAACAACTTAAATGAGCATCAAATGAGGCTGGTGTCATTATTCTTGTGTTTAGCTTCTCATATTTTACCACTTATCAGCTTAAAAGCATTTTCCCAACATAATTCCTCTGTGTTTTTGTGAGCACCCAGGACTAATGTCATTTTGAGGAATGAATAAAGATAAATATTCAGAATTGACTCTTTTTTTTCCTATTTAAAGCAAAAGCGAAAACTGCGTCTCTACATCTCCAACACATTTAACCCTGCCAAGCCTGATGCAGAGGACTCTGAAGGTAGCATTGCATCCTGGGAGCTACGTGTGGAGGGCAAACTGCTGGATGATGTGAGTCAATTGTACTTAAATCAATAATTGGGCAACACATATTTAATTCAAGTCCTTTACTATGAAACACAGAGGTGCTGGTGCTCTTGTTTTGGGGCTTTTATTGGTAAAAAGTCTCATTATTGTATTGCAAATAAAATGTTTGATCATGTGCTTTTTGTCTGTGACGTCATACCTTGTGAATGGCAGCTATGTGCATTTTGAATTAGTGAGGTTAAATGTACTCTTCCAGGCTCCGAGTCTTGACCACAGACATGTGCCTCACTTACCAGTGAGATCACTTCCCAGCCTCCAGCCAAACATACGCACCAGAAAGTTCTGTGGGTCCCTTGACTTGGACTGTTTTTCCTTACTTTGCTCTTTTGATAGTTGTATGCCATGCACCCTTTTAACCAATAATGCGTATCTTAAAGGAATATTCTCGGTTAATGAATTTCACAAGGAAAATTCAACCTAAAAAGAATGCACTTAATGGCAGTCTAGCAGGCAAGTGTACATCACCCAGAATAAATGTTCAAAATATGCAGCGATCACACTTTTGAAGTGTATAAGCATAAACACGAATACTATACATATTATACATGCTTTACACTGGTTTTAAAGAATCATTTACCTTCCCAGTCGAAAGAATCATTCAAACCTTCCCATTTTTAAAAAAAATAATTTACCTTCCCACCCTGTTGCTTTTGCATGGTCAAGTCAAGTCACCTTTATTTATATAGCGCTTTTAACAATACAGATTGTGTCAAAGCAACTGTACAGCATTAATTAGGAAAATAGTGTGTCAATAATGCAAAGTGACAATAGTAAACACTCATTTTTCAGTTAAAGGCAGTTCATCATTGAATTCAGTGATGTCATCATCCAGCTCAGTTCAGTTTAAATAGTATCTTTGCAATCATTTGCAATCAAGTCAACGATATCGCTGGAAATTAAGTGTCCCCAACTAAGCAAGCCAGAGGCGACAGCGGCAAGGAACCAAAACTCCATCGGTGACAGAATGGAGAAAAAACCTTGGGAGAAACCAGGCTCAGTCAGGGGGCCAGTTCTCCTCTGACCAGACGAAACCAGCAGTTCAATTCCAGGCTGCAGCAAAGTCACATTGTGCAGAGGACTCAACTGGCTCCTGTGGTCTTGTCCCGGTGGCCGTCTGAGACAAGGTCTTTACTGGGGATCTGTATCTGGGGCTCATCATGGTGTCGCTTTGATATACCAGGAAGGGACGTGACATAACGATTCATGAAGTGCTGTTTATATGCAGCAAACTCCACCTACAGAAATTACATTAGTAACGGATAACCAGAAGTTACCAGAAAATGTTTCCCTCCTTTAAAATGAAGGTTAAGTTTACTTGCCTGCTATCTGTAATTTGGCATTGCATAATTATATTTTATGTTTGACATCGACCTTAAATCTGTTTAGTGGTTTCCATCAGTATGATTAAATAGAACTTAACTATTAAAAGCTGAGGCTCATTGCTCGTTTGTTTTTGCTCAAGCATGTTCCCTTCATATCTAGCCACAAAGACATTGGAGCATGGCTAAACATGCAAAAAAACATGCATTTATTAGTACCTGACCTGTACAAGTACCAAAAAATATGTTGACCTTCATGACCTTCATAGCTATGTAATGATATCAACTACCTATGTAAAGATAATAGAATAATAACGGAAGATAGCTGTCATCAGTGCAATCAGACATTTATTTATTTATTTATTTTTACATTGTAAAATGCGTCTTTTGGTTTATGATCTGAAATGCCAGCTAAAGTACCGGTTTGATTCATGTGATTGCAGCTGAAGCATCATTGGGACGAAATTCTTAAGAGTTTAAGCAGTGCAGCATAAATCCAGCCTCTTGGGTCAGTCTTTAACCAAGATAAGTTTTGCTAATACACTTGAGGCATGCTTTTCCATCCCCAAAGAAATAAAACTAGTACTTATTGATGATAGCTTGAGGGACTCATGCTGCCTCTGGGCTGAATGGAATGTTGTCCTGCTCAGCAAATCATCCGCCACAGTATGCCACATTTGAAATTCAGCCGTTCTCTTTCATGGAAAGTCTACCAGGAAAGTTTATGATGTGGTGCAATGTTCTTGTTTTCCAACAATGTCTTCATCCTTGAAACTGGATAGTTTGCTCAGTGGCACACACTGAAAACAGTATTCCTGCTTTCTTGTACAGCCGGGAAAGCTGAAGAGGAAGTTCTCCTCATTCTTCAAGAGTCTGGTGATTGAGCTTGACAAAGACCTTTACGGCCCTGATAACCATTTGGTTGAGGTTGGTGTTTGATATCCTGCTTATCACTCTAAATGACAGTGAAACACATTTCTTTCATAATGGAAATTCTTAAAACCAAGAACTAAAACCACAATAAGTATCTTACATTTTAACTGCATATATGTCGCGCATACACTATTTTTCAGTATAGTTCATATATAAACATGCTATATAGCTCTTTGTTCAGTAAGATGTGTGGTGATAGTCGTTCAGGTTATTTTTCTATTAAGTTACTGAAGTAACTGTGTTTAGCTCTTTTTTTTCTTTGTAAGTGTGTGCAAGCATGTTGATTTCCTTTTTTCTTTTTTTTTTCTGCAGTGGCATCGTACCCCAACCACTCAGGAGACAGACGGTTTCCAGGTGAAGAGGCCTGGAGATGTGAGCGTGCGCTGCACCCTGCTGCTAATGCTGGATTACCAGGTAAAGGCAGCAAAATGCATCTAGTAATGTTTACTTGTATATTAACTGAAGACTACTGATCAAGAACTGCAACATGGTGCAAAATGCAATTGTATGACATCAAATTTTGGAACATTTTTCCTTGGGCTTGTGTGATTTTCTTTTTGATTATAAATTTATTTCAGACTTTGAAGCCTTGAGTTTCATTGAAGTAATAAGTTGATGAAACATAACATAATAGTGAAGGGTGCATATCACATATATGAGTATATTAGAACAGGAACTCTGTGAGTAGCAGGTCTACTTGGTAATCATTTTGTGATGTTTTATTTTATCAGTCAAAATAGATAAATATTCTTCTACTGAGCCTACTTTTTTAGATTAGAAGTTAATTAAACTTAATCATGTATTAAATTATTAATAGTTAATTAAATGTAAGCATGTGTCAGTACTCATGAAATGAAATGAATGTACACAGTGACTGAAAAGCATTATATATCTGAGAGTCTTGTGTTCTGTGTGCAGCCACCTCAGTTTAAACTGGATCCGCGTCTGGCTCGGCTGCTGGGAATACACACACAGACTCGCTCCAGTATCATACAGGCCCTCTGGCAGTATGTCAAAACCAACAAACTGCAGGATTCTCATGACAAGGAGTACATCAACTGTGACAAGTACTTCCAACAGGTACACTTGATTGAAAACATTGATTAACATTCATCACAATCTGTAATTAATGAATGAATCAGCCTCACATAAACCCCTATAATGTGTTTGATATTTAAAATAACATTGCCGAAGTTCATAGAAACATGTTGGAATTATTATCTAAAGCCAGTATACTGTATTTTAATCAATAATTTTTTTGTGTTTCTGGCCTCATCTAATCTCACAGATCTTTGACGGTCCACGTCTGAAGTTCTCTGAAATTCCACAGCGCCTCACCAACCTTTTACTTCCCCCCGACCCTATTGTCATCAATCACATCATTAGGTTTGGATGTCTGATTATGTGTTTTGCTTGTCTGTACAAACGTGTCATATTTATTGTCAACATTTACCAAAATACAGTGTTCTTAATCTTTTATACTTCTGGTCAAAGCTTTGGGGTCAGTAAGTTTTTAAAAAGAAATTAATATTTTATTCAGTAAGGACACATTAAATTAATCAAAACATTAAGACATCTTTAATCTAAAGATTTCTATTTCGAATAAACAGTTATTTTTAACTTTCTACTCATCAGAGAATCCTGAAAAAAAAAGTACAGTCTCTGCAAAACTATTAAGCAACACAACTATTTTCAGTAATAAAGTTTCTTGAGCATCAAATCAGCATATTAGAATTATTTCTGAAGGTTCATGTGACACTGAAGACTGGAGTAATGACTGCTAAAAAACATATAAAAAAAGTTACTATATTTTTGATCAAATAAATGCAGCCTTTGTGAGCATTAGAGACTTATTTCAAAAACATGACTCCAACATCTTTAACAGTATTTATTTTATTTTGCAGCATCATTTTAATTCAACCTCATCACATCTCTGTGTAGATATGTATATAATCCAAGACAGGAGTATTTTGGTTCAGTCGTTGTGCCTTTTACTCTGTCTTCTCTATCTGCTCTTACTAATTTTATGAAGAATACAAAACATGAATTCAAATTGAGGTTATTTTTGTTCAGCGTCGACCCTAATGATCAGAAAAAGACGGCGTGCTATGACATTGATGTAGAGGTGGAAGATCCTCTTAAAGCACAAATGAGCAGCTTCTTGCTCTCCACAGCCAATCAGCAAGAGATTGCCTCTTTGGACAACAAGGTTAGTGCAAGTCTCCCACATCAGTGTAGGCACAGCGGAGCAGATGAGTGAACTTCTAGACATTTTGTTCTGAATTATAGGGTCTCTGATTTCAACTCATATTATTACAGTTAACCTGACAGCAGGATAATAATCAAGATTTAACAACTTCTGCAGTGCCATCATGTCTGTGAATACACCCTTGATTTTTCACTTTGGTTCTAAATGCTTGCAGATCCATGAGACTATTGAGTCCATCAATCAGCTGAAGATCCAGAGAGATTTCATGCTCAGCTTCTCCAGAGATCCCAAAAGCTACATCCAGGACTGGCTCAAATCCCAGAGCAGAGATCTGAAGGTCTGCAACAACTTTCATTCTTTCTTTCATTCTACTCATGACTCTTGATATTTATATCATTTTTATATTTATAATATTTTTGAAGATGAAGTTTGTTTTCTGTTATAGTACTCTCTCATATTTCAGCTTAATGTGCTGAGACAGATACATGTAAGCCAGTTTTAGGATGAGGTCCCAAAACGTGTAAATACATTGGCTCTGTGCCGGTTTCAAAACATTGCTCAGTTTGTTTGAGTGGTCCGATATGTCAACTTCTGGCTCAACCAATGGCATGCGTTTAGGGCAGGACTACCTGTTTGGAACAGGTCAGAAGGGGCAGAGTGTTTGGTAAACTGTTTGGAAATTAATTTTGCTGTTCTGTTGCTGCTGTTAATGATACAGAAATTACACACTTTGAACCACATTTATATAAGCTTCAACAAGGTATTTACTTCATATTCAGTAGTTTTCACTAGTACAATTTAAAGCTTCAACAGCTCCCATACAGTACCATTAAAACTCATGGGGGAAGATCATTCATTTTGGGCTCAAGATTAAAAAAAAAAGAAATTAATACTTTAGCAAGGATGCATTAAGATAATTTAAAGTGAGAATAAACACTTTTATTGCATATTTCAAAAGATTAAAAACAAAAAAAGTTTATACATTACAGAATCCTGAAAAAACAGTCATGGTTTCCACAAAAAAAATATTAGGCAGCACAACTGTTTTCAACATTGATAATAATAAGAAATATTTAATGAGTGCCAAATCAGCATATTAGAATGATTTCTGAAGGACATCATGTGACACTGAAGACTGGAGTAAACTTCAGCTTTGCCGTCGCAGGAACACATTAAAACTAATTAATAAATTAAAATATATTTAAATGGAAAACAGTTCATTTAAATTGTAATAATATTTTACCATATTACTGTTTTGTTTTTTTTTATCAAATAAATACAGCCTTGGTGAGCATAAGAGAAAATTCAGCATTGCATCACAGGAATAAATTACATTTTAAAATGTATTAAAATAGAAAACAATCAAAATAATTATTTGAATTGTATATTATAATATATATTATAGTAATATTTTTCAGTATTACTGATTTTACTGTCTTTTTGATAAAGAGCATTAGAGATTTCTATTAAAAACGTCATGTGATTTCTTTCTCTGCGAGCATGCCCCTTAATCTCCTTTTTATCCTGATGTTGTCCTGCATTTCTAACTGATATCACATTTTGATTGTATGTAGCTGATGACAGATGTTGTTGGGAACCCAGAGGAAGAGAGGAGAGCAGAGTTTTATCATCAGCCTTGGTCTCAGGAGGCTGTTAGCCGTTACTTCTACTGCAAGGTAAGAATATAAAAATATATACGATGACTAGTGTGAACCTTCTCCTGGTCTTACTATAAAACAGAGTGTTATAACGGGCTGCACTTTGTCAATGTCTGAACTGCACTGGACAAAAACTGACTGACTGTCTTTTTGCTTCCAAAGATTCAGCAGAGGAGGCAGGAGCTAGAGCAGGCCTTGGCCTTGAAGAACACCTAGAACTCAAACCGACCACATTCAGAAAACATGGCTCATTTGTGACAACACAGCCAACACATGGAGGTCCCTGCATCATTTTCTGCAATGCATGAGGGTTTGTGTGCGTGTCCAGTCATTGTTGTCACTGTGACCTACAATCCACCATAATGGACCAATCACACCATGTTACTCCAACAGCCCCATTGTATAGTATGTGTCTTCCATTCCTGGATGAAATCATCTCACAATGCACTATTTGGATTTCTGGTTTTTAATACCAATCACATCCACCAGCATTTTGAACTTGATGACTTCAGAGCTGGCTCAGTCCCCTAGACTGTGGATCCAACATTGATTCAGTTGTGATTCAGCTTTCCTTACTGTCAGTCATCAATTCCTGGTATTCACACACACTTTCCCTGTGATTAGCGTGTGTTTTGACTCCGGTATTGATGATGTCTCTAATTTAGTCCACATTTGTACCAGTTTATTTCTTGGGTATTGATCAAAAAGGTAATTTTGAATGCCTATCAGTGGAGATACAATAATTATCTCCATTATTAACACTTTTATTTAGAAGTGTATTAATGAAGTACTTTGAGGCAGGCAGCTTAAAGAGGAGAATCATTCAGTATTAACTGAACTGGTGGCTTACAGGGTATGTCGCTCTCTGCTGTCTGTCCCTGCCACAACAATGACATTTAGCTGCAATAGTGTATATAAACATTGAAAGATAGAAGGAGGTTGTTTTAATCAAGTATTTAAAAGCTATTCTGCCATATAAAGTCAAAACAGTAACTACACTCGAGAGAGAATGTGACTTTAGAGTTTTTGATTTTTTTAACGTTTTGATACATTTTCACACTTTTTTTGATTGAATTATGTGTAGTTGCTGTGATTTGCCTTTGTAGGACACTACTGACATAGTCATTAGTTCACTTTGAAGGAATTTGATAGGTCACGGTTTTTGAGAAGCTTTCACATTTGTGACCCTGGAGCACAAAACCAGTCTTAAGTAGCACAGGTAAATTTATAGCAATAGCCAAAAATATTGTATGGGTCAAAATTATCGATTTTTCTTTAATGCCAAAAATCATTAGGATATTTAGTAAAGATCATGTTCCATGAAGATATTTTGTAAATTTCCTACCGTAAATATATAAAAAATGTATTATCATTAGTAATATGCATTGCTAAGGACTTCATTTGGACAACTTTAAAGGCGATTTTCTCAATATTTGGATTTTTTTGCACCTTAGATTCCAGATATTCAAATAGTTGTATCTCGGCCAAATATTGTCCTATCCTAACAAACCATATGTCAATTGAAAGTTCAGATGATGTATAAATCTCAGTTTTGGAAAAAAAATTTTTTTCAAAACTTATGACTGGTTTTGTGGTCCAGGGTCACATATATGACAAAAATGGGCCATACCAGCATGGTGACAAGTTATTCAGAAATATAATCCGCTTGTGACATCAAAAGACTGTTTCTGGGTCCAAGCCTTTACTTCATTTGAAGTAAGAATACAATCTCAACTGCCGTTTATGAGCACTGTACATTAATGGTACCCCTTTAAGCTAAGCTTCCAGTGTAAACTAGTCTCTGGGCTCACAGCGTCCCAGTCAGAAAAGATGAATCTCTGTCTAGCCAACTGAGATTTCAGTATGAAGTTAAAGGTTAGGATCTTGATTTTTCAGTAGTACTATAGCACACCGTAAGTGTATATTAGCACTGTTTGTAGTTTGTTTTTGGGATCTGAAGGAGCATTTGGACCCGGATGTGGTGACGTGTTATGTCAAACTAGAGCAGATTATTCAGATCAGCAGTCAACTAGATAAAAGTGAATATTCTGTAAAATCTCATCTTTTCAGAGACACTTCTTTATGCTTCACCAAATCCTTTTTTGTGCACATGACATTACCATCTTCTTGGAGAAGTTCCTTTGAATCCTGAATTTTTTTTTTATCCATTTCAATAGTGTTGTTTAAAATAACATACTGTGTGTTTCTCACTAATGTCACTGTTTCGAATGATTTTAAAGCATTAGTGTAATTTGATGTTTTACCAAAGGTCTAATTTACTTTTAAAAAGAGAGTGTTCAGACTTTGACATGATGAAGGACTTTTTAAAAGATGAAGGATGCATTTTTAAAGAATACACATTTTAAATTCCCATTTCTCCATAGCTGTGAAAACAGTGCTTTTTAAAATTGCTTTATGACTCATAGAGTCTTTGCACTAAATCATGGAACATAACTGAGCGCGCTGAACGCTTTCCATGCTAATTATACGTCACCTTAACAAAAAAGTATAGAAATGAAGGATGAACTAGGGAATAAATGTTTTGGAATGTGGATACTGCCATCTGCTATTACAGATTGGTTTCATCATTGCAGCATAGTCCTGACTTATCAGTGGCTTTGGGTTTTGATCGTTAACCCTCTGCTCCTTTACTGTCAGCTGAAGGATGGTTTGTCCAGATCAATTATTGTGAGTTCTTGCGGTTTGTCTGGGAGTCTCACGCATCTTCTCGTGAGGAAAGAGGAGTTCTGGTGACCTGGATGTTGTCACGACCTATGCATGCTGCATGGAAACATTTTTATACTTTCATACAAGGACATGAGAAACCTTCTGACTGCTTGGGACTTGATACGAAAAGCACTGAGTACCTTTAGTTAGTGACCCTCTGTGTCTGGGTCACAGCCTCTACATACAGTACCAACATGTACAGCAGGGGCCATTTTAAGTTTTTTTTTTTGTCTTTTAAAAAGACACTGCAATTTAATATGTGGATAAGAGAAGCACACCAATGCTTTTTACAGAGCCTGTTGGGCAACAACAGCACCTCTCATTGAATCTTATGGGTACTACATGTATATTCAGCCATTTTGAACATTATAAACTTTAAGTATAACATCTACCTGTGTGGCTATTAGCGACTTTCTCATATGTAAAGTAACCTCTTCTCTAACTCAAGCCAACAAATGTGCTTAACCTGACTATCATGGAGTCAAGTGTTGAATGTTACCATCTCTCTTGCTTTTAGTCATAGTGTGGATCACGCTGCCCTCCAGTGCTTCTGTAAGGGAAAATATCCAACAGTTTGGGTGCTAAAAAAATCAACACTTTACTGGTATGGCTTAAATTAAATGCCACACAAGTATTGAAGTATTCAGTACTAGAGTTCTGCTGGGCTTTGAAATCTTCCAATATAACCAGGTTTTGGTTATAGTGTCCGTGTTATTCCTTGGTTTGTTCATAGAAGTACTGCCAACAGACATCTGAACAAGTAGGTTTTAATGATTCACTATGTATTTTTCTCTCTCTCTCATGGTCTGTGTATGTTTGCTTTCTCATCTTGTTTCACTGTTCAGCTAGAGAGATCAAAACTACAGACGTACATATGTAGCATAGTGAGGATGTAAATAAACAAGCGCTTGCCAAAGTTTGTGAATGGAACACCATACTGAAAGTGTGATGAGAGTTTATTTTCGAGATGTGCAGTGGTACTCAACCAAGGGGTCAGGGCCCACTAGGGGGCCTCAATAAGTTATATCAAATTATTTACATTTAGTCATTTAGCAGACACTTTTATCCAAAGCGACTTACAAATGAGGACAATAGAAACAATCAAAACCAACAAAAGGGCAATATGTAAGTGCTGTGACAAGTCTCAGTTAGCCTATCGCAGTACACATAGCAAGGTTTTTTTAATAATAAAAAGAAAGCAAGTAGACAGAATAGAAAAAAAATAGAGAACGCTAGTGTTAGAGGGTGTTTTTTTTGTTGTTTTTTAATTAAAAAAAAAAGTCAAGAATAGAGAATGCTAGTGTTAGAGGGTCATTTTTATAACAAATAAAAAGAAAACAAGTAGTAAGAATAGAAAAAGAATAGAGAATGCTAGTGTTAGAGGGTCTTTTTTATAACAAATAAAAAGAAAACAAATAGTAAGAATAGAGAATGCTAGTGTTAGAGGGTCTTTTTTATAACAAATAAAAAGAAAACAAATAGAAAGAATAGAAAAAGAATAGAGAATGCTAGTGTTAGAGGGTCTTTTTTATAACAAATAAAAAGAAAACAAATAGTAAGAATAGAAAAAGAATAGAGAATGCTAGTGTTAGAGGGTCTTTTTTATAAATAAAACTAGTAAGAACAGAAAAAGAATAGAGAATGCTAGTGTTGGAGGGTCTTTTTTATAACAAATAAAAAGAAAACAAATAGTAAGAACAGAAAAAGAATAGAGAATGCTAGTGTTAGAGGGTCTTTTTTATAAATAAAACTAGTAAGAACAGAAAAAGAATAGATGAGGGTCTTTTTTATAAATAAAACTAGTAAGAACAGAAAAAGAATAGAGAATGCTAGTGTTAGAGGGTCTTTTTTATAAATAAAACTAGTAAGAACAGAAAAAGAATAGAGAATGCTAGTGTTAGAGGGTCTTTTTTATAAATAAAACTAGTAAGAACAGAAAAAGAATAGAGAATGCTAGTGTTAGAGGGTCTTTAAAAAAAAAAAAAGATGGAATAGAAAGAAAAAGTATTATTTTAATGATTAATTCATAATTTAAAAAATATTTTTTTACGATAAAAATGCACCCAAAAAAAGTACCAGAGGTAAATATCTCAGATTGGAGGGCTTTAAATATTTTCTTGGACAAAGGGGGCTTTGAATCAAAATAGTTGAGAACCACTGCATTTGTGTGAAATCCAAGGGGGAAGGGGGGATGGGGGGGGGGAACTAAATCAAACAACATTACAAATGGTTTGATAATACGACTGTGGCAGTTGAGAATAAGACTCATCTATGACAACTATTATTTTTGTGATTACAGCAGTGGTGAAACAGCAGGGAGTATGAATTATTAATGATTTATTTGTTTTCCTTTTCTTAACTCCTCTTTTAGGATAAATGTGTCATTATGCCAATGAGGAAACTGGTGTTTGTATTCAGCAGCTGGCCACACCCTCCGCTTTGAAAGAACCTTTCACTGCCTCTCTGCTCTTGACCTGGTCAAATCCACAGGGTGTCCCTCTGTTCTCTAAAATGCATGAAAATAGCAGAGCAGAGAAAAAGACTTCCATACATACAGTCAGATGGAGAATGTTCTGTATTAAACTATGTTCCCTGTGGAAAAAGACGAAAGGCGCCATTTCAAGTCAATGTCTCAGGCCCCTCTAAACATACAGCATATTGAATTTCATCTCTCATCAGCTGAAAAAGAGGAGGGGACTGAAACTGTGATTTATAAGATTGTGGCGAACCAGACCAAGCTAGTTAAGTAAAACGTGTTGTTTTTCCAAGAGTATAGGCACTCTTTGTACAAAGGTCTATTCTCAAGTCTGATTCACAGGCACCCATATTTAAATATGAACTGTCACTTCTGGTTATATGTGAGAACCAGTGGTGTTCAGTGTCACTGATGTCAACCCAAACAGAGACCGCATGAGTAGGCAAAAACTTTGATTTTGTAAACCGGGATTCACCCTTTAACCAGTGTTGCTTAGTTCTACGTAGCGCAAGATACTTGATAAAAACATATATATTAAAAAAAGTTGTTGCATCATAGTAATGATTCATAATTAGTTTTCACAGATAATTTGTTTATTCAATCCTGAAATATTTAGCACATTCTGTTCAAAGGTCATACAATCATATATCTGGAGGAAGAAAGATGGCTCAAGTTACATTTGTAGCGGAGACTAGAACCTCTACTAACCACCTAAAGTCTGACGTGTTCATATAGTAAAAGATGAAGGTGTTCCTTATGCTTTCCCATTGCTAACTTCAGGTTCCTGCATTCAGTCATCGGTATTAATGTAAACGAGGTGAAACTCGTTCCTCAGGTTTTATTTAAAATGAATTATGGAGATATCGTGAATGTTGTTCTCTGGTTAAATTGGTGCACATTTATAGTTTAAATCCTTTTCTTTTTTTGTAGATCCTTGAAGGGACTCAAAAAATATAAATTCTGTCATCGTTTACTCATCTTCAAGTCAGTTCAGACCTGAATTTCTTTCTTCTGCAGAACACAACAAAGAGAACTGGTCACCTTTGACATTCATTGTATAGACAAAAAAAAACATTCTTAAAAATGTCTTCAATGTTCCACAAAAAGTAAGACATACAGATTTTGAACAACATGAGGCTAGGTAAATGACAACTTTCTATGCCTTTAACAAGGCGACTTCACCCAGTTTCACTGAATTGAGATGACTGGATGATCTGTGCAGAGAAGTTCACAGCCTCGGTGAAATTTACTCGGTCAATATCAGTAGGTCATTTAAGGCCACCTATATATCAAAAAGTTTAAGCCATCTTAGGGTTGCAGTAGTAGTCAGTTCAGGTGCTGTTACATTTCTTATGCTCACCAAGGCTGTATTTATTTGATCAAAAAATACACTAAAACAGTAATATTGAGAAAAATTATTACAATTTAAATATACTTTTTTCCCCCTATTTGAATATATTTTAAAATGTTTAATTTATTCCTAAATAATAACGTCATAATTAATTCCTGTGATGGCAAAGCTGATTTTTCAGCAGCCATTACTCCAGTCTCATGATCCTTCAGAAATCATTCTAATGTGCTGATTTGCTAATCAAGAAACATTTCTTATTATCATTGTTGTGCTGCTTAATAATTAATATAGTGGAAACTAAGATATCCCTTTGTGCATTTAAAACACTGATTAAAACACTGGTTTTAACTGGTTAAGGCCAAGAATGAGGGGATAAAGATCCAATTCAAATTCAAAGCTGAGTGAGACAAATGAGGGAGAACTACTATGATCTCTAAAGCAAACAGCTTCAATGACCCTAACCTCTGCTCTGGCACCCTAGTTTTGTCAACATAATTATTAATAAAATTGTATTTGTTATTGGTAAATTGAGGACAATGAAAATGGCAGCGTGTGCTCAACTCAAAAGATTTATTAAAACGGTCTCTAATAGTAGTCAAAACATGACATGTAAAAGTTAGGACAATTGTGGAGATCAGCTGATATCATTTTTCTCACAAAATGATTTTTGTTTACATGCCCAATAACCAAAATCTTTTTGTAATGCATTATATTTCGTTATTAATAATGCCCTTCTATTTATGCAAAGTTGTTTTGTAATCTAAATTGATGCCAATATTTTTTAGCCGTTAAGCCTAAAATGATGAATAAACAGGCAGTTTCTTATTTTTTAATCGTATTTAATTTACATAAAGATGCAACACAAACGGTTACTGATGTTTTAGTCCCAGTTGACAGAAGTGAGACTAAGAATTCCAAACATAACCGTTCATCATCTAAACCTCTCTTGGGGTACTGGCATGGCTGAACTGCATATGCAGCCGTGGGTGTTTTTATGAGAGGAATAATAAGAGATTCTATGTCTGTGGCTTCACAAAGTGGTGAAGAACTCAGCTGTAAGAAAAGCACAGAGGCGAGGTGAAAAATACTGGACAGAGACCTTACTACTTACTGCCAAGTCAAACAAACCCCCCTCTCTAGTCACATTTCTATACCGACTACTGATACCAACATGATCCAAAGGTCATAGCTGATTTAATATCATTTTAAATACTTTTAAATCTACATAGCTCATTGCAATTTTATATGATGGCCTTCTTGTCTCATTTTTTTGAATAACATAACAACTAGCTAAAAGAACCATTTCTAACTGAGATTTCGGGCCTTTCATATAGGACATGAAGCCAAACTGAACTGATATGCAGGGACTCACCTGAGGACTTTCTTGTGTGGTTTGTTGGGGTCCTTGTGATAGGGCACAACGCGAGGCTGGAAGTCCTCATTCCCATCTTGACCATCCTGGACATCCCTGATATGACCACTGTGTATGAGTCTCCCATTGCCCAGCTCATCTCCACAAGCCTCATCGGTCTCCCCCTGCGTCCAGGACACCATCAGGAGGCTGAGGCTGCAGCCCAAAGAGAGGCCCAGGATGAGGGGCAGAGCAGGCCGGAAAACAGCCAGGAAAGAAGACAGGCGCATGGTCGAGCAGGGGCTCTGCAAGCCAGTCAATGGATGTCAAGTCTCGATAGGTCTCCTTAGAGAGCAGTTCAAGTAATAGCACAGTCTCGTTTACAGTGGATTACAGTAGAGGCATTTGACAGGGATTCTGTAAAGGTTAATATTTAAATTCCTGATACCATGCGTGCTCGTGTCTAATCATAACATGAGTAACTTAGTTAAGTCAGCGTTGATGTCTTCACAATCTGATTAACGGACGACGAAGATGTCAAGTTCAGCAGCGAAAGGCCAAAACAAAAGGAAGAGCAACAGCAACCAATCTGACCTGCCTCTTCACAGTCAGCTGACTAACATCGGGACATATGGGTCTGATTTAACATCCAAACATGCAAAACCGACACACTACCACCCTCCATATAAATTAGTCCACTTTGATCTAGCCAGACATCCTCCTGCACGCAATATGCGCGAGCTGCATGCACGAACACATCATTTGAGAATTACATGTACATTACTAGATGAAAAATCACCTCCCCTGGTGCACTTTCATGCACAGTCATTTTGTGGTCCGAAAGACAACTGCTGATAAATTACATTCAATAAAAAGTCCTCCACTGTCTCGCGTAGCTTCGTAAGTTAGCTGCTTTGCTTGCACAGAGGCTGAGCAACATTAGCAGCCACCAGCGATATTTCCCCCAAAACACACTAATCCGCTCACTTTGGATGAATTCCTGCGTCTCTTCCGAGGAGCCGTTGAAAAATACAAAAACAATCGCGAAATGACTTTCTTGGCTTTGCTGTGAATGTCTTCAGCATCGTCGGTCACGTATCAATTCTTCCTACGGATGTGCTCAAGAGGAAGATTGACTCGATGGGTTAAAACAGACCCAAGGAAACAAGCAGCAGCCGCACAAGAGTTCCACCCGCACAAGAGTCCCGCTGCACGGATCTGCAAGAGCTGGCTGGCGCTCTCTCCGGCAGCGTGAACGAGGAGCTCGAGACTCAGGCCATCAGTGTCAAATAAGCGATTACAGCGAGGCGGCAGTGAGTCATATAAAAGAATAGCTACCAAATAAATCAAAAGGAAAAAAATAATAATAACAACAAAATAACTGCACAACAATTAGCTCTCAAATCTGAAACATTCTCAACAACATTCTTAAGGGAAAGTAAAATAGCACATTTAATTGTATTTATTTAAACGTAAAGAATAAAAAAAATCGTAGCTTTAGAAATTATGAAATTTAAAGTAGATTCAAATTCAAATGAAGTAGAAATGTGAAGTAGACCTTTTCAAGGACTCTGTCCTGACTCCTGACTGTGAGACTCTAGGACAACAGATTGTTGACTGACACCAATATCTTGTTACCAGAAATCTTATAGCTGTTTGGCATTTGAGTATTGCTTTAAGGATGGCCAATTGACTGTTTACTTCTGAATCAAGTTCATCTGCCTTTAGCAATGGTCAAATTGCATTAGGTAAAAGACTTTGCTTTGGGCAATAATGAGACAGCTCTCTTCACAAAGATGAATGAGATACAGAAAAACTTGAAGTCATGATGCAATGCAGAATATCTTCTTTGGTGTAATACATATATACAATAATATATTATTAGGTATTTTATTGTCTGCTTTTTAGGCCAATGCCTGAGTTTCAAAAGGTCTCAAGTAAAATACAGATTCAGTTCTACTTAAAGGGGATAGTTTTAATTCCCTCATCATTTATTCAGAATATATAATCAATCTGAATAGTGAATGAGACTGTCATTTTGGCTTATATCTCATTTTTGTTTCACAAGATGGTGATTCAAAATTCATTCACTAAAAATTATTTTGGGATCAACATATCGAGTATTGTAATTCTCGTACATCCCTGCATGCACATGGACCCCTTTATTGTGTTATTTTATACTTCTATTGCAATGTTTGGTAGTACGTATCGTTCAGTTTTAACAAATCAAATGCCATTGTCCACAAGTAAGCTACTGCTGTTTGCGGTGTTATTGCATTTTTATCAATTAAGACTAGCACGTACTACCACTGCCATATACTCCTAGTAAAAACCTTATCTTTTAACCTGATCGGACCTTATCTCAGTGCTACTTTAACACTGCTGCCGCGGGTTGTTTTTCATGTCCGCGGGTGGAAGCGACTCCAATAACATGATATTTACCCCCTGGAATGCGATTTTTAGCAGGGGAACCCCGCCAAAAGAACGTGTATTTTACCCCCTGGAACGCGATTTTTAACTGGGGACCCCCTCGAAACGCAATTGGGATAGTTTTGAGCAGCGATTGGGCGGGTTTTCTTGTAAAAACCTGGCAACCCTGGTGTGCGCGAGCCGCCGCCTGCCCGGGCGCGTGTCAGAGAGCTGCGCGTGCGCGCTTTGCTCCTCTCAGAAAGGTACGTCTAACCCTTATACACATACAGGTGCATCTCGATAAATTAGAATGTCGTGGAAAAGTTCATTTATTTTATTCATTCAACTCAAATTGTGAAACTCGTGTATTAAATAAATTCAATGCACACAGACTGAAGTAGTTTAAGTCTTTGGTTCTTTTAATTGTGATGATTTTGGCTCACATTTAACAAAAACCCACCAATTCACTATCTCAACAAATTAGAATACTTCATAACACCAATAAAAAAAAACATTTTTAGTGAATTGTTGGCCTTCTGGAAAGAAAAGGCTCTTTATAGTTATTGTTCTTGGTGTGAACGGGACTGTATGCGCAGTACAAGGAATAACAGTGGTAAAAGCAAATATTTAATCAAATCTTATTATTTTTCTAAATTTATTATTTTTTACAGCATTTGATTTATAAAAATGTGGAGTTTGGCATTGACCTGGACACACGAGTTGCAATGTGGGTCCCAATGGGGCAGGGAAGTCCACACTTCTCAAGCTACTAATGGGAGAGGTCAGTTATGAAGAATATATGATTTGACAGTTAAAGTCTTCCAAAGTTCTTAACAGTGATTCAGTTTTAAAGTCATTGGCATTCATTGGCCTGTGTTTTTGTCTCTCATAGCTTCTTCCCACAGACGGAATGATAAGAAAGCACTCGCATGTCAAGATTGGCAGGTATCACCAGGTACTGTCTTCATAGAGTATGATTAGTTGTCTTGCTACTTGTGTCATTCTTTCCATTTTCATAACAGTTGTGTTATATGTATGTAGATGTAGAGAGAGACTTGTTTGTTACAGTTCTGAGCTTATAGTCACATCATTTACATGTTTCTTCATAATTTGATTATAAGCATGTTCGTTTAAAGTATTGGCAATTGTTTGTAATTGCTCTTGCATTGTGTTTGTCCTGCAGCATCTGACTGAGCAGCTAGAGCTTGACCTGTCTCCTCTGGAGTACATGATGAAGTGCTTCCCAGAAATCAAAGAGAAAGAGGAGATTAGGAAGATCATTGGACGTTATGGCCTGACAGGGAAGCAGCAGGTATCTGTGTGGTTGTGTTTATTGTGGAAGGCTGTTAACATGAGTCCTGCCAGACAATACAGTGCACTGTATTTTCTGTTTTAACTGTCATGTCCCCCTTTTACAGGTCAGTCCCATCATTGAACTGTTACAGCAAGATGAGCTCACATCAGGCAAAACTGTTGTGCTCAGTTTACACACAGTACAGCCCATTCAGTTAGCTTGGCTTGTATCCGTGGAGAGAATCATATTAGTGATATAACAGCAAGCAATGATGCATTAATATGGTTTTTATATTTTAAACATTTTTAAATAGTTTCTCAAAGTAGCAAATATGCAAATACACAAACATGTTCATGTTTCACAGTGAGGTACATTTATCAGTTCTAGTGAGCAGCAACTCCCTTTATCTCATAAAATGCCAAGTCATGCAGGTTTCAGTGGTTGAGAAATGTTCCGGCCAACACTGTGTGTAAATTTGTATTTCTAACCCGGCTATATTTTGGGGGCACATTTTTTTCTTCTTCTGATTTTTCTTTATTTTACAGTGTCCTTGTAATGCGTTACATGTACTTACTATAGTAGTGAGTAAATTATGCATAATTGTATGCAACAACCATAAACCAAACTCTAATCCCAACTCTAACCCCATAATAAGTGGATGTTGTTAGTTAATAATACTCAGTACAATTGCACTTTAACAAGGACGCCGTAAAATAAAGTGTAACCAATTTTCTTCACTAAATCTGATAAGGTCCTCCTCCTAATAACATCCTCCCCGTTAAACTCTTTAAGACAGTTCACGGTAAGCAGGTGAATTGGTAACTGGTGAGGGTGTCATGTTTGGGTATAAAAGGAGCATCTCAGCTGGATTATGGCTCATCATTTTGTGCCAAATTTCATGACAGAAGTGTCAAACAAATAAAAAATCACATTTCTCAATGCAAAATCCCAAAGAATGTAGGTATTTCGCCAACTACCATACATAATATTGTGAAAAGATTCAGGGAATCCAGAGAAATCTCAGGAAACCTCAGTTGAGCTGCCATGCTGCAGTGTTAAATATAGACACATGGGCTCAGGAGTACTTTGGAAAACCGCTGTCACTTAACACAGTCTGCCACTTTATCAATAAATGCAACTTGAATCTCAGTTGCTCTTGGAGAAAACTATACATCAATTCTATGCAGTAATGCCGCCGGGTTCTCTGGGCCCGAGCTCATCTCAGATAGTCAAAAAGACAGTGTGCTGTTGTCAGATGAGTCCACATTTCAACTGGTTTCTTTCAGTCCCAAAGACCAAAAAACATCCAGGCTTTTACCAGTGACAGATGCAAAAGCAAGCGTCTGTCATGGAAGGGGGGTGCAGCAGAGCAAATGGCATGGGTGACTGGAATATGTCCGAAGGTACCATTGACACGGAGGCATATATTGAAATTGTACAGAGACATGTACTGCCATCAAGAAGACATATTTCATGGGAAGTGCATGGTTATTAGATCAAGACAATGCCAGGTCTCATTCTGCATGTGCTACAACAGCGTAGTTTCATTGACACAGAGCGAATGTGCTAGACCAGACTGCCTGCAGTCCAGATCCGTTAAATGAGATTAGAAAAAAGATTTAAGAAATTGTTCAATAGTTTTATATATACAGTCCATATATTTTTTATTCTAATGTCACAATATTCTCAAGGTTTACTGGGGTTTATTCTGTGATGCTTTTGTAGTGTGGGTTTGGTGAAATGTACTGAAGCTCAAGATGAAACAACAGGATTAAAGATGAACAATACTTAATAAAAATGGCACTGCCTGTCCCTATCATAAACATTCTTCAAAATGTAATGATTAGATCATCACAATATATGAGATGATGCAACCTTTTTGATATAATACAAGATTTGATTACTAATGTAATTCAGCAGTGTTTATTGTTCATTTACAAGTGAGAATAAAAATAAGTTGAAATTTCCTTCCAATGCCCTGTTCCATGCATATACTGTCTCCAAGTAATTCAAACCATGAAGTTGTGCTTGAGAATACATAAAGAATATAAAGTGATCATTTCATTAAACGGAAGTGTCTTACCAAAGTTTTTTTTTTTTTCATTTGCAACATATTTCTTATCAGGAACATGCACATTTTGTCATTATTGCAAATGCACATGACTTTCTAACAAGGGTTCAATATAAATATTGCTGTGTAACTTCCTCACTCTTAGTAGAAGCAGATAGCTCTAGAGTTTAGGCTCTAGTTATCCTGCTGCAATGAAGCAAAAATCAGCTCTACATTTGACTGGAGGCCAAATTCTCCTTATTTTCATCTTTATACAAGGAGTCTTGACAGATAAGAAGTCCAATGATCCATGGGTGAGACGACAACTTTACTTGCAATATTAATATTACTATATTAGTAATAAATATAGTAAAATAGCAATACTACATTTTATAGTATGACAACTGTTTATGAAAATGAACTCGGTATAATGTTCCTTATTAAACATGTTTATGTTTAAGACATTTCTTTCTTGCTCTTTTGTCCTCTCAGAATTTTGGGTTCCCAATAATAGCAGCATCTGAAGCTGATAGAGTGAACCCAGGAGTGGATTTCAGGTTTAATGAGGTGACGTCCTACTTTGTCCAGCCATGTCAGATAATGTCATACACTTTAAATCATTTATTTCAAGGTTTTTTGAATATTTCTAGTAAATGTTTGATCCAGGCTATTGTGTTCCAAGTTTTAAAGCAGAACACCGTGTTTGATTTCTCTGCTTTAATTATTAGCCACCAGTGGACATGGAGCTGTCAGGATCCGGTGATGACACACCTGTGGAGGAGCCATTCATCTTAGGATTTGAAAGATTAAAGCAGGCAATTTAAACATTTAAAACTCTCTCTCTCTCTCTCTCTCTCTCAACTTATTATCATCTAAACAAATACATTTAGGTAAAATAATTCATGTTGTGTATTATTTTTTCCTGAAGTTATTCACAAAGAAGAACCAAGTCGATTAGAAGAAGAGCCAAGATGATTAAAAGAACTTGTAGACATGATTGTCCCACTGCCTGTCTGCATGAAACATTTTTATTTTTACGTTGGAATCAATGTTGGCCATACGATTGCATTTTGTAGAATTAGGTAATGAATTAAAATGTCAGATGCAAAAAAAAACAGTTCAAACATTTTTTTTAAATCAAATTATATTCATATTCAACAATAAAAAATGACAATGTTTTTTTTCCCTGAAGGCTATGTGTATAATTGTACAGGAAATATTAAGAATAAGCATGCATCTGGGATTATTAGCATGAATAGATTTGAATACAATGCAATACAATATTAAATTAAGATCACAGTTGTACTGTTTATCATGCATCATCTTGCTCGGGTGACAATAAATGCTGGGAAATAATAGGCCATCTGACGTCTTTTCATGGACCAACATCTACTCCAGGCTATTGGAGAATCTGAGTAATAATTATTAATTTGAGTAGTAATAAGGGCTGCAGGCTGGTCAGTACAAATTCCCTGACTTTTTACTAGTATGTCAGTTTGCATGTTATTTGTGTATTTTGTTGAATTCACTGTTAATTTAACAAGCGTTTAAGTAATTATCGTAACTGTCTCGGAATACATGCTATTACACAATCAGATGTTTGAAACCCACTCAGTAACTTCACAGTAAAACCAGCTGCTTTGTCTTTGTAATTACCGCCCCTATAAATAATTCAATTGTTATATCAGCAGTCTTATTACTAAGTTTAATTTTAAGTAGTTTCATATCTTCATCTTTACCAAATCATACACTTTATCATACACTCTCATTCTTGAACATACACTGCCCCTTTTTATCTCAAAATGTAAATATGCCCCTCTGATAGATAGATAGATAGATAGATAGATAGATAGATAGATAGATAGATAGATAGATAGATAGATAGATAGATAGATAGATAGATAGATAGATAGATAGATAGTATAGGGTTAAGAAGGGTTAGCTATTTTTGCACTGTAGATAGTATAGGGTTGGGTTAGCCTACCATTGCAACTAACAATAATAATAAATACAAAACAAAATCCATAGATAGCATGTAAGTTTTTTCGCTAACAAAATAAAAATTAAAATTAAAATTCTTAAATGATCAAATAATAAATCAAACTCTCAAAATGGCTTCTCAAATGAGAAATCCAATGCTCAAATGCAATTTAATTTCCTCATTAGGGAAAGCATGAACTGTTTCAAAAATCAAATAAAAAATAATTTGTATTTGATATTTAATTTTCATTATCAACCCAGTATAAGCCTGTCATAATTAAATCTATAATCCAATGCTCAAATCATAAATCAAATGCTCAAACCGGCTTCGCAAATTTTAAATCAAATGCTCAAATACAAATGAGGAGCCTGGTCCCTTTGATCAGGGCCCTTGGAATTGTCTTAAACATCCCACATTATGGCACCCCTGCTCCTCATAAACCTGATCTCTGCTGAAACATTAATACTCTTCGAGTTTTGTATTAGAAAAGTCACGAAAAACAGCCGTGGTGGAATGTTCTCTCAGAATTAAATAAAAAATGATATATTCTTTAATGAATTCGTCACATTATAATGGTCAGGGGATGGCGCTAAATGTATATTGTCTTGGGTGACGGTTCTGTGGCGGCCGACAAATACACTTAGTTCTATAAATGTAAAGGTTACACTTTATTTCGATAGTCCACTTTAGACATTCTACTAACTATAAATACAAACAACGTGATTATTTTTCACGAGTCCAACATCCAGCCGTGCAAGAAAACATGCAATCTACCTGAGACGTGATCAATAAGGGAAGCCGTCTTTTACTATTGCAAAATAGAGAAAAAAACATTTTACATCTAAATAACTAATAGCTTCTTAACATGTTTCAAGAGCAATCAGGAAATTTCAGGTGAAACAAAACAACTTTTTGCACATCTAAATTTGATTCATGGCATCAACAGTGCTAGCACTTACTTCAGATGTTGTGA